TTATTGACCAGCTTTACAGAACATTATCATGTACATTATATGTTTTCTTATATTGAAGATACATTATGTAAGATTTAGATAAAGAGCTGGCAGTTCTTGCTATAATAGTTCAAAAATAGATAATGAAAAATGAATACATTGAAAATTTCAGTGAAATTACTTTATTCTAAGCAAAATTATGAATGATTGAAATTTTGACAAGATTTAGCCTAAATAGTCTCGACAGCCAAGTACCATTACCATGATAAGAAACTTTATTGATAATCGATATTAATGCACTGGTTTCTAATTCATTTAATATTGCAGCCATCCGATTGTCTAGAGAGAGTTGATTATATCCTTCATGTGAATAATTAATATAACATTTGAAACCAGAACAAAAGACCTGCAATAGTCAGGTTTAGCTCTTGCATACTGCATCTAGAAAAATGTTCATAAACTATTTATCAATAGAGAGAGAGAGAGAAATGGGGTTTAACGTCCATTCGACACAAACCAGGTCATTTCGGGACTAACATATGGTTCAGTTTTATTTCAATAATTTGCTTGCGCATAGGAGTCTTTAGCAGTGGGAGGAAACCGGAGGACCCATAGAAAACCCACGAGGTTGAACAGGCAACCCTACTCCTTGTCACGTACATCCGGGGAATCGAAACTACGCCAGTTAACGCAATGACAGGCCTTATGATACAACTCACACGCACTAACCATTCGGGAATTCACCCCTCTAACTATTAACCAAGATAGGATTATAAAATTCCTATTTTTCTCGTTTATTTGTAGAGATAAATGTATTGCAAAAAGCCGCTTTAATTTTCTCCATTTTGACGGCATAATTTGACAAAATGTCAAATGTTACACAAAATAATGTTGTCATCCGTAATAAATGTTTTACACTGCATTCTTTCTTTGTAATTTCAAATTTTATGTTTGTGTATTTCTGTCATTTATGGCCATTTTTACATTAATTTTATTTGATAGACATTTCAGTTTGTCGTTTAGTTCTGTATATGATTAGATAATTTTGTTTGTCTACCAATTTTCATCTGTTTCTTTCTTCTAATAATAGTGAGAGAAACGTAAAATGCCTTGATTTGTCTGTTTAATAATGGTTTTTGATCAGAGTGGAAAATTTCTAGAACTCATCAATTTGTCAGACATGACAGATGTACTGTTATTATTTTCCTTTAATAATGACAGACGACAATTTGAGCGAAAAAAATAGGAAAGAAAATTAAAAAATATTTCTCTATTTGACGTTGTTTTAAATGTGACATTACGGCTAGATGGACGTGAAAGCCTGATTTCTGTTTCTATCAAGACATAAAATAGGTTTAGGTAATGAATTTATGCGAAGATTGATATTAAAAAGCAATCCAATAAAAGCTGTAATAAATGATAATAGGGTGCCTCATTATCCAAACTGCTCAGTTGTCAAGGAAAAACAATTAAGGTGTTTATCCAAATGTTGAAAAACCAATACCCTGTTTCTTATTGCCAGCTTCAATTAGATTTATTGCATTGATATATAATTTGGCATTGATCTTCATTTTCCACCTGTCAACGCCATCTTTTGAAGTACTACCTGTCGTCTGACGTTAACGAGCCTAAATCTAAACAGTTCTCATTCACGTGTCTTAATATGGCGGCAGAAATCAGAAATATCCTCTACTGCATGAAGGGGATCATTTCCTGCGGCTATTGTATTGGTCCACTGAATTCAATCAACATTATTCTTCTAATACTCAAGGAATAGTGATGGGCCTTTTCATAAAGCAAATTATTGGAAATCTGTCAAGAAACACTCATTCATTTTGAACATTTTATTACATTTTTCCTGGCTATAGGGCCAACATTTTTGGTTTCCAGGAATGAAATTCAAGAAATTGGTCATTATTGGAAGAGATAATTCCCCTCATTATAAGGCAAACAGTTGTATGAGTGATTTACGTCTATTGGTTTCTGCTACCTTTCTTTCTTTTCGCGGCCGTTAATCTCGATATGTCTAGTGAAGCGTACAATATCGCCTGCCTCATTGCGACAATTTTCTAAATATCTCATTCTCTATAAGAGGAGAAGATTACTGTCCCCGAGGTGGTGTGTACCAGTTAAACTAGAAAAACCCAACTGACTTGATCGCAAAACTAAATGGAAAGGCAATAAATAAGAAAATGAGAGGATAATTCACTGAAGGGTGGGCTAAAGATAGGCTATCGGTCACAGTAAATCAAGCTCACTGTATTTGCAAGACGACAACATGAAACAATAATATTTCAGCATTTGTCAAATGATCCATTAGAAAAAGGCCAGATGGAATAATATGGCCATCGCTTGACTAGAAATGAAATCTGATTGTGTTCTCCAAGTAGCCGTCATAAAGTATTTTCATCAGAATCATCTTGGGGCTAATATGATTTGCCAGTCATATCGGCAATTTACAATCGACTAATAAGCTCTGTTACTCTAAGTGCAATTTTTATCAATGTATATTAGCAATGATATAGAACGGGACGGAATCTGGAGAACATGACCAGAAATTGTAAACTTGCGATAATCATGATTAAATGGGCGAATTTGTCTGTCAGGCGCTTGTATTACTAGTAAATATTCTCGCTTTTATTACATCAGACATCATAAATCATAATAATAATCACATCTCGATAAACACACTATTTGTGTGATATGTGATCGGTTTGACTAATATCTTTCACTTAATAGATATTCACATCTTGGCTCGGCTTTATTAAGATAGAATGGAAAACAAATGTAATAAAATACTTCTGTTTCGGACAATTTATTCTCATATTTTTTTTTCTCCTCGATTTTTTTTGTTTGTATTTGAAATATGTGTACAATTTATTCAGAGAATTCTTTTTCTTGGTTATGACATTTTTCTTTGGGTGTAAATTTTCTTTCATAAGGTTCAGAAAAGGAATTTTCCATGTTCTTATAAAAAGAGAAATTTGATATTAAGACTCATTAATATAGAGATTGTCAGTTTCTCAGTGATAATTATTATCTCTCGTTTCGTAGTTCATTCAAGTAGGTTTGTATTCATTCTATATCGTTGATGTAGCATGAAGTACTGTTTAAAATACAAGGCCCCCAAGTCATTCTCTGACAGGGTAACTATATCCCATATATTAAATTGTCGCCCACTATTTCTTAATAGATGTGTGTATATATACTTTAAAGGTAAAGAAAAAGTTTTCAGGAGAGTATCGCTATTATCAATTGGGGAATAAATACGCAAGTTTGCTGTGATCTAGTAATATTGTATAATAACGCCATATTTTTGAAACAGAAGGGGCGTTGACATTAATGGGACTTGAGGACACTTGGTTGTCAAGCAGAAAACAAAAAAAACAAAATACTGAAAGAAAAACATAGTTGTCATTGCCATTGTTTTGATTGACAGACGAAGTGTAACTGACAGCCATTTGTTCACATCCGTTGATAGAAGGAAAGAACATTGATGATAGTCCTGAAAAAGCAATATTATTAGGTTTTTTAACATACATTTGCCAATCTCTTTTATACACAATTCATTTCCCATCACTAGATCAATTTCTCGTTACAACAATACATTAAAAACCATTTTCAGTCCCATCATACCTTTGTTTGAAGACTCTTCGGCTAATGGTGATGTAAAATGGCTGAAACACTGGAAGCGAACAATTGATAGAGACAATCAATGGTCAAATCATTTTCAACTACTTAGCTGTTTATTACAATCAATGATAAATAAATATACAAAATGGCATGTTCTTTTGTATAAGTCTATTGACATTTCCGTATTTCCACATTTGCACTTCTTCACAATTGCGTGAGAAAATCAAAATGTTGCAGTGTCGAATGCTGAGAAAAATATGTATGCCTGCATCGTAAACCAAGGAAATCGCTTAGCAACATATTCAAACGATGCATTAGTGTAGTTATATGAATAAAAATGATGAAGAAAATAATTTGATTTATTCATTATATAAGATAAATGATCTAAAAATGATGCATAGGACATATAAAGTTGAATTTTTTTCTGATTTAAGCTGAATAAAGTTAGAGATTAGTTTGAAGTTGGTTGTTGATAGTGTTTAAAGAAGTGTATTAAAGTTAACTATTAAACCTAATCAACGAGGATAATAGGTGGCAACAACCCCCGACAACACATGCAACATTATACATAGCAACCTTAATTGATTGACACTAGCATGAGGTTCATTTCGACACACATCTCGGTGCAATAATTATTGGATAATTAAATTGCACTTGTAATTAAGGTGACAAATGTGCCATTAAGAAACATTAAGAGAGAACCATTACAGATATAATTGTGTTAGCCCCTCTCCATAATATCTAATACTGTAGGAGTTGTATTCTTTCACTGGTCCGAGATCTCGATGCTCTTTAACAATAGAAAGATCACAGTTCGCATTAAAAGAGAAGTTGACAAAGTCGAGACTTTTCTAAATACTATTATTTATTGCTAATGTTCACCCATTCTGTGTCTACTTATTATTGCCCCATTATAATAGATGGCTTTTGTCAGATGGAAATTCGTCTGCCTAATTGCTTCATAATAGAAAGTGATTTACTTGTCATATCTTTCGATACAGTTAATAATCATCCTCCAATTTAAATCTTTAGATTCTATATGGATTAATCACCATTATACATTTGTCTATCAAAGCAAGCCGTGTTATCACTGAGCATGAACATATTCAATGAAAGCGCTCAGTAATCTTTGAATTATGCTTTTAACAATGCTAAGTAAATGTACTTGTATGAGAGTAGTTGTCTAGTCGCCACTAATGTAAAATAGAATTAGAAAAAGAAAATCATACATTTATTGAAAAAAAATATGTAAGCATTGATTTATTCATTATTTTGAATAGAGGATGTTATGAATAATTAATACTTCGTCTACAATATCTATTTTCTACTTATATATATAAAGAAGTGGAATAATATACTATATTTCATACCTTTGATTATATTTTTAGCCGAGTTGAAAATGGAATTGAAGAAAGAAAGAGACATGAGAGAGACAATAGAAAAACAATTATTGGAAGAACAAAAAAACAGAGGTACATAGACATAATTATAAGTACATTTTATTGTAATCAACGTTTATTTGTTATTTTTACAATATTTTAATTGTTCTTTCTTCTATGATTAATACAAAGATTATTGTTATAATTCACTTCTTTATTTCTGTGTTAGTAATTGTTAAATAACAATTTGTCTTAAAAGATTTTTTTTATTTCTTTAATATCTGACAATTGACTTACTTTTATTTTCAATTTCTTTTTTATTTGTTTTTTCTTCTAGATCAATAAAAATGAAATCAATTTTTAATTTTTATTTAAGTTTAAATTCATTTTGCCCTTTTATTTATTTAGTGATTTTACAAAGAAGATTAAAAAAAGAGAAGAAAGTGAGAAGGAGAATGCAAGAAACTATGGAAACCAGTCCGGGTAATCTTGGTCTAAATTCTAGCAGTATTGATAATAATAAACTCAACTCTAGTCCTGACTGTAATCGTAATAACATAGGTAATAATCCATTATTTCACTTCTACCAAATAGAAATAGTTTTCAATGTAATAGCATTAAGTTCTACCAAATAGAAATAGTTTTCAGTTCTATGTAATAGCATTGAGTTTTATCAAATGAAGATAGATTTCAGTTCTATGTAATAGCATTCAGTTTTACCAAATAGAAATTGTTTTCAGTTCTATATAATAGCATTGAGTTCTACCAAATGGAAATAGTACTCCGTTCTATGTAATAGAATTGAACTCTACTTGATGGAGATATTTTTTAAAATTATCAGTTCCATATGCTGGGTTCCCACTATCACGATTCGCGCTACAATTGAAATCGTGGTTTTAATCATGGAGTAATCGTGGTGATCCTATCAGATCCTATCATATATTGAGGTCAGTCGTAGCAATTGGGTTGGTAGTATCGAAACATATCAGAACATATCTACACGTACCAGATTGTGGACTCAATAAGGGTAAACCTATCGAACGACAGTGGGAAGCTAGCATTAATAGAATTTTGCTTATTTAACTTGCTGTCAGATGACAGTGAGTACAATGGTACAAGATATTATGAAAGTAGCATTCCCTGTCTGTAAAAGCCAGATTCAGCTCTTGTATACTGTATGTTAAATGAATATATATCATATCTTTTAGATTCAGCTGATCCTGACTCAGAAGCAGATAATAAATCAGTCAATTTATCTGATTGTGACAGTAAAACAGAAGGTGGGTTGATCTATATGAGAATTATATCAATTATTCTTCAAACTAGAAACACTAAAAATATTTTATATATGCCCACTTCCATCCACTGTTCTCAAGGTGATTCTGAGCGGAGTTCTCTAAGAACCCAGGCCACTGACCTTATTTGGTTTTAAAAATTACAGAGAAATATATATTGAACAACTGAAATGAAATGAAATGGGGTTTAACGTCCTGCTGTTCTGCTCCGACTGGGCTAATGAAGACGCCATATGCCATACAGTGTGCTATGAGAGAAATTTTGTCCGGGCAGCAGCACTATGGCCCACTCTTATATCAAATTCCAACAGCCATTGGATCTATTACGTGCACACCAATGTATACACATGAACTCATTTTGTTGTCCCATCCAAACGACTAGACAACTGTGCTTATCAGGCGTTCCGCCCTGCACCACTAACAAGGGGAAACGATGTTGGAAAATCATGATGAACTTTCTCGGCCAGTATGCAGGGATCGAACACGTGACCTCCAGGCTAGCGAGCCAGCATCTTACCCACTTTGTCACTGTGGCTCCATTTATTAAACAGGGGGACATATCATAAAAAATTAGATGCACATAAATTCAGTAAGATTTGTATAGTTGAATGTGGTATTTATGTACATGTATATCTTAGCAACACCCTTTATATTTTGATTGCAAGTCAAGTGTCCTTATGACCTCTTGAATTCTGTAATAAAAACTGGCATTAGGATTACATGATGGCCAATGATAAAAAGCAAAAAAGCATGATCTGCAAATCACACAAAATTTTCAAAGAACATCAATAAGATTTTCTTACCATTATCTGGAATCGGTTTGAATTTCAGGGTGTGCTACCTATCAGTAGTACACTTGATTATTACCACTTTGGTATTATTTGAGAATTTTAAGTGGCCATTAAATTATCATTGCATGTGAAATTAAAAGTGTAAAATTGTATATTTTCAGGTACTCCTGAAAGACCATCGCATCGAGATGTCTATGATAGCTACACTGCATCATTGAATGGGAGTGGCCCTCCGCGTTTTCCATACATGCCCTTAATACATGGTGAAGTACAGTGAAGCAAAGGGACATGTCATACCTCACCCATTAATAAATTACTCTTAACACTAAAAGTTTTGAACTTATAAATCGATAAGTAAAACTGAGGACAACTTTACACATTGAATGAAAATAATTGTTACAAACGACTATACCAAGGAAAAGCCAAGGACAGTTTTCAACTGAAATAGAAATCATGTGAAATTGTGAAAAATGCTAACTTTTTGGTGAACAGGTAGTGAAAAAAAACAGTGACAGATTTTTCATGAAAGACTATTACAAACATGATATTTCTAAATAAATACTTATTATATTATTATTATTATTATGAATTATGATATGCCATTAATATGAGGGGTTTATTATTATAAATGTAGATATATCATATTTAATACCTGTTTAATGTCCACAAGGTTGTGCACCAAAATGCCTCTTAAAGTGTATTATTGTAGGTTTAACCCTTTGAACCCTAACATAAAGTGTAACTGCATTGGCCTCGACTCCCCAAAAACCCATTTATTTATCCTATAAGATGCCATAACACTCTTAGATCAATGCAATGCATAATCAAAAAATAAAGAAAATATATATGTAAACAATTGACCCTTATAAATGCTTAAAAAGATAGCACAAAAAAAAAACAGTATTAATAGGTTCAGAGGGTTAAATTAAATGAAGAGACAAAATTTTGAGTGAATTTTTCTCAACTAAAAAAAATCATGAGCACATTTAAATTTTGATTCATACGTGGTTCGATGAGGAGAAAGAAGGAAATAAAATGGATGTATTTGGTCCAGAGGAGAACTTTCGATATCCCACGACACTAACTTTAAATGTTCCTCTTTAAAAGAGTGCACTTTGCTCAACAATGCTCATTAGGTTAGAAATAACTTGAGCTTAATTTAATTGGTTGTGAAAATTATTAAAATAGATGGTATTAAATACTCAGTATTAAATACTGACATTTTGATCCACATAGTAAAATACTTCTATTAATCTGTTTCTTCAAGAATTTCTGGAAGCGGGGATGAAATTTTAAATTACTTAATACTTAAACTGATACTAATAGGGAGTAAGGGGTTGTAGAGTAAAATTCTTCGTGAATTTCTGAAAGTGGGGGATGAAATTTTAAATTACTTAAACTGATATGAGGAGTAAGGGGTTGTAGAAATAAATACCCTCAAAAAGTAATGATTTTGTTGATTAACTTCAATTATTGGGCATGTTTGATAATAACAAAATTGGATGGTCCAAAGGGAGGCTTTAACCCAATGCTCCCCTGTTGCAAATCTGGCCATGGTAAAAAATATTTTATTTTAAAAATTGAATTTAAAATATAGAATATAAGTGCAGAACATGCAAATTAGTTTAATGCGACTTGACCACGCAAAATACCACAAAATATTACATTTTGTTCTGTTGTGGTATTTCAGTTGTAATTGACAGATAGTCTTTTCTGAATTAATGAAATTCATTACAAGGCAGGCAAACCTAGCCATAATGAGGCATATAGCTGTAAATTTGTGAAGAACAAGGAATAGGGATATTGTTAAGATTTGAAATTTGAACCATTTATTCGACATACCACAAGTACATCCAAAGTCCTCAATAGTAGATATAAATACAATCAGATTAAAACACAGAACCTATTTCGTTTTGTTTTTTATAGTTCGAAATTTCATTTTACTTGTCTATACTACACTAGGATCAGAAAGAGTTGTTGATGTGAGGGATTAGCTAATGAAACGGCGAGTTCTTGATGTGCACGGAACTGTGTGTAAACCACTAGAAACATCAAAGTTGATTGATTAATCAATGTCTGACATCATAAGGTCAAAAGCCACTTGTATGACCCCCGACGCGACCTTTCAGTACAACCGGTCAGATCTTCATGTAGTGGAGGCCATCGAAAGTATAAAAAAACGAAACAAAATTTAGATGTATATTTGAATAAGATTGATATAAATGTAAATTAATCCTATAATATGTTTGCTGTAAAATAGAATAACTTCTTTAGAATAATAAAATATATTCATTTATTTCCATTGGAGCAAAATTAATAAGGTGATTAATTAAGTTTTGGTTTATAATATGTTGAATAAAGTTGTATTCACATTAGTTCATTCATCTTTCATATCAAAAACAAAAACCATGAATTTATTAACTCAAATAATCACCAATTAATGGCACAATTTGTTTACAATCATGTACTTGCCACAATCGTGAAAATAGAACTTCTATGGCACTACCATATCCTCGACCACCTAGTATATTCCGCCCCCAACCCACCTGTCTACCAATTATAAACCTTCTCTCTCCGATTTATTATTACTCACCAACCTCATTGTATATTTCATATATGTATTATACAATAAATGTGTAGTTATAAAATTAGTATATGTAGTAATATTGTAGATGTAGATGTTGTCATAGTTATAAAATGATGTTCATTGTATTTTGTATATTATGTGAATATTATATAATATGATGTGTAATGTACATATTGCTATAATGTTATATTATAATGTGTATGTTATAATGCTATAATGTTTATCTTAAAATGCTATTATTATGTATATGTTATTACATAATATTATGTTATATCCATGTAATAATGTATATATTACAATGCTGAATATTATATGTTATAATTCTGTAATATTGTTACAGCATTGTTATATTTTATAATGTATAATGTTATTTTATAATGTTATAACCATACTGTAATGGATTTGCTATAACACTTTAATATTATGTTATAACAATGCTGTATGTTATGACACTATAATATTATGTTATAACAATGCTGTAATGTTATAAAACTATAATATTATGTTATAACAAGGCTATAATGTTATAATACTATAATATTATATTATAACAATGCTGTAATATATATGTTATAACATAATAATATTATGTATAACAATGTTGTAATGTATTTGTTATAAAACTATAATATTATGCTATAACAATGCTGTAATATATATGTTATAGCATTATAATATTATGTATAACAGTGTTGTAATGTATTTGTTATAACACTATAATATTATGTTATAACAATGCTGTAATGTTATAACACTATAATATTATGTTACAACAATACTATAACACTATAATATTATGTTATAACACTATAATATTATGTATAACAATGCTGTCATGTTATAACACTATAATATTATGGTATAACAATGCTGTAATGTTATAACACTATAATATTATATTATAACAATGCTGTCGTGTATAATGTGTGTTCTAGTAGACTAGACGACAATATTATATTATATTTAGCGATTTGTATGAATGAAATTGGAATACATGTGTGTTTGAAAGTTTATGTTTATGTCAATAAATGATTCTATGTTTCACTGATATGTATGTAGTTGTGTAATTCCTCTTGTCCCCACCCCATTCTCTTTATGTGTAATGGTGATAAAAGAGACAAATCAAGAAAAAAATTAACAAACCATATCACTGGATTATGGTTATAAAGTATACCATGATTGCCCTAATGCAGTTATTCATTTTCGATTAAACAAATAGATCTTGTTTTTTGGTAGCTATATTGTAAATATTTGTGTCCATAACGTGTCCATTGTAACCCAGTTTGTCCATCCTGTCATGATGTTATATATTGACCAATGAAAATCCCTGTATTATTATCAAAGGCCCCCTTGTTGTGTAGAATTATAAATGGTTACATTAGTTTGTAAGGCCATTACATTATTTTGTGGAGACATTCCTATTTTGTCACCAATAAACGTTTTAAAATCACTCTCTAGTTTAATTGTTTGGTTCTATATTTATTGGGTCGAGGTGGATTTGGAAGTCCTTATATGTTAATTGGGTCTGGGTTGATTGGGAGGTGGTTATATGTTTATTGGGTCTGGGTGGATTGAGAGGTGGTTATATGTTAATTGGGTCTGGGTTGATTGGGAGGTGGTTATATGTTAAATGGGTCTGGGTTGATTGGGAGGTGGTTATATGTTTATTGGGGCTGGGTGGATTGGAAGGTGGTTATATGTTAATTTGGTCTGGTTGGATTGGGAGGGGGTTATATGTTAAATGGGTCTGGGTGGATTGGGAGGTGGTTATATGTTAATTGGGTCTATGGGGTTATATGTTAATTGGGTCTGGGAGGATTGGAAGGTGATTATATGTTAATTGGGTCTGGGTTGACTGGGAGATGGTTATATGTTAATTGGGTTTGGATTTGGAGGTGGTTATACGATCCCCTGGCAGTTGGAATTCGGAATAAGAGTATGCCATATTGCCGCTGTCTGGGAATAATGTCCCTCATTGCACACTGTATGGAATATGCCCGTATTCATTAGCCCAGTCGGAACAGGACAGTCCGACGTTAAACCCCATTTCATTTCATTTTTGAATTTCAACGTTTTGAAGTAGAAAAAATCCATGGGTAGCTTTGGACAGTGGTCATATGTTAAAGCATCTACAGATACAACAGGACAATCTCAAATATAACCAGAGGACCTTTAGTGCTAAATCATATGGCCAGATCAATGTGGCTCTCCCCCGAGAGTCTCAAATTTATTCTTTTTTCTTCAGAAACAAAAATACCAGAATACCAGAAGCACCATCCAAGGAAGACCATCAGCGCCATCAACATCTAAAAAAAAACCCTGTGAAATCACCTTTGTATATAAATCTAATGTATTATATGTATTTTTAATAAAACTAGGAAATATCACGAACTAATTTTTCATCATCCTAGGTCAGTGCTTATGTGAAGACTTAACCTCTCCCTCAAATTTTTAAACCTAACCTACTATCTCGACAACAATCACTTGCCCTAACCTTATTTACATCTCAGCGACCTTGACAAAAATTGAGCTGTCCTTAACAAATAGATTTAGCCCCAGACGACCTCAAATAAGCTGGAGTAAAATTTCCCCTGAAAGCCCCCATCCCACGTCCCTGTAGGTTATTATAAAATCAACTTTATGAACCAATTTTAGGACAACCTTAACACTACATTTGTCAACACCTGAATTGGGATGGAAACTGGGGGGGGGGGGGGGTGCTAAGGATATGAGCTGGACTTTTATTGCTACTTTTTTTTTTGATGGTCCAAACTAGACGCGGGACTTTCAGCTACATAAATTCGGATGCTCGTCAAAGCTAATTCATGTAGTTAAGAAACAGAACCTATACAATAGGTTGAAATTGGGTGGGACAAGGGTGATTTTTTTCTAGTTGCTAAGAATGTTATCTAAACTAGTAATAAGAAGAAGTGATGAGAGAGGTGCGTTTTTAATAGTATCAAATTAAATAGTCACCTTTAGCTGAGCGACATGCATGACATCTGATATAATCAAATATGGTAATACAGGTGTCAGACCGAAATCAAATCCTGAAAATAAAGTTGACTTTAAAGACGGAGTTTCTTTTATACATGTAGATGTTACACAACAACAAAACATGTCCTGTGGTTTTCTTTCAGTTGTACAGGACAGGTTACTGAAGCTGTACAGGAGAAGTAGCTGTACAGAAGTAACTGAAATTGGCACGTACAATAATTTAAATTACATATCTTTCAAACCACCTTTCACTTACATTAATCGCATGGTAAATCTGTATATACATACTGTTTGTCCTATTTCAGGTAAATATGTGTATATATACACACAGTTTGTCCTGTTTCAGGTAAATCTGTATATACATACCTGTTAGTGAATGTACGTGTAAGGAATAGGTTAGTTCATTGTATTGCTACACTTCAGTAAACGATAATCCAACCTCTTTGGTTTCTTGTAATCGTCAATCAATGGCTGAACGATAACTGTCCTGCCCCGACTGGGCTAATGAAGACGGGCATACGCCATACAGTGTGCTATTATAAAGGGAAATTTTTCCCTGGACTGCGCCACAAGTGCCGACTCTTATATCGAATTACAACTGTCAGGGGTTCTTTAACGTACACGCCAATGTGTAGACGGGACCTCGGGTTAACGTCCCGACAAGGGGGGGGGGTGTCACTCCAGCATCTTACTCACTGAGCCACCCCGGCTGCCGAACTATGTTGTTTTAATTGTCTAAACTACTGTCCAAAGAACACCTTTTAGCATTTAACTTTTGTACATGTTTAGGGGAAACCGGGGCTAATTCGTCCCTAACACATGTCTAACCATTGGCGATATCATGCCACTGGGGTTAAGTTCTATCATATCAATACATTTCTTTGGGAAACTCGCTGTGTTGGTGGTTTACGAAAAGATAACTATATTCTCTTAAAATGGGAGAAATCTCAAAAAAATAATCTTCCCTAATTTTTAAAGGGACAATAACACTCTTGCTGGCTTGACAGCTCCAGAAAATATAAAATAGCCTTATTCTAAGTATTAGATGTTTATGTGTCCTACCTGTTGTGTAAATTGTCCATTACATCGTATTTTACTTGTCCAGAGGGTTCGAAAATATTTTTAAATCCAAGTCTCATTTGAAAAGGTTTACGTTAGGCTTTTCAAATCATGTATTGAGCCTTTAATCAATGCCAATTTTTAGCAAACATGGTAGAACTAGCCCCAGTCTCCCCTATATACATAGCCTTCTGTCACAATGCACTTGTCTGCGATATCATTTCGGTGGAAGCGGATGTTAAATAAAGCTATTTCATCCACACAAACACAATGCACTTTTTATTTTAATTTTAATATTTGGGAATTGCATGTGCAAGATGTGTTGTAATTTGTAACAACAAAAGAACAAATAACGATAGTGAACTGGGTGACTTATTTCTGGGTGGCTGTTTTCTTTTTATTTTCATGTTAAAAATATCACTCAAATTGTGACATTTTTTATGAATACCGCCCGTGTGTTATTCTTGTAACTTGCGCATGTTTATATCAGGGGTTCAATTATAAATAAATAAAAGAAATACTAAAATTGTTTTCTCGCTACATTTATTTTGATAAACACTTAACTATCATTCGTAACAATACTTGCTTATTTTGTAATCCTATATTTACGAAAAAGGATTGGAAATATGCGAGTGTATTTTTGAATAGTTTTTAAAACAAGACAATATTTGAGGGGAGATATAATAACATATTAGGCCTTGTTATTATTATATTACTTATCACCATAATCAAATTGTGAAACTTGTTATCTTTTTAAAAGATATGGCTTTTGTGCATCTAACTCGCTTTTATAAAGGAACAGACTTATGGCGCCTGTTGAAATCAGTTCTGATAATGACCCCAATTCAGTGATTTGGAGCATGAAAAATCCCTTTCTCTATAAGTGGAAATTGTCCATTATGATGAACGACAGATAAAAAATGACATTGTTTTGTATCGCAGATTCCCTTTACAGCAGGGGTCTATATATTTCAATGGATATCGAATGCTGGCTTAGTCTGTAATTGGCAATAAGTTGAGATATCTTGTAAAATTTATTTTCATAAAGACATTCATACTGTCAACAGACAAAGTAGCTTTTTAAATGGGTAAAATAGACTGAAAGCATGAATTAATGCATGATGAACTCCCAAATGGTATTAACTGTGAAACAACTAAAAGATGAATGTAGCATCGCTGAGTATATTGTAACTGTTT